GTTAGAATTATTCTATAGTTCCGCTTCTTCTAACTGAGATAGAGCAGTTAGGAGTTGCCATCTGTGGTGAGCTGGGTTTTCAGTTGAAAGAGGCTACAGTTGTTTCTTGGTATTCTGCTAAACGACAACAAAAATTCACTTACTAGCTTATCCAACTGAAGGAAGAGCTTGTGTATCTTCAATTGAATAGAGCCAAATGGCTGTGCTCAGATGGTGTGTTGTTTTTGAAAAACTGAATAGTGATATAAATTAAGATAAAATAAATAATAATTTAATTGTAAATATTGATAGCCTTAAATCTATTTCTTTTTAAAAAGAAACCACTGAATAAACTGTGTTTTCAAATATCCAGCTTTGTATTTACAGTAAATGTGGATCATGTTATTTTGTGTTTGATATTGTTATGTATACTATTATTATACAGAATCTAGTTTTGTGTTCCTTATAATACTTCAGTTTTATAATGACAGTTAAAGATTGGTTACTCAGTTCAGAGAAAATGTATTTCAAGGTTAACTTTTAAATCCTGAAAGGCATTGAATATAAAAAGAGTGTTATTATTTTTATTTAAAATAATTTGATTACAAAGCTGTTACCTTTAAAAGACATTTTAACAATGTTATAGTACTTGCACTATAAGTTTATTTTGTTTGGTTGAAATTAATTTGCTTCCCATTTCAATTTAATGAAAAATCATGTTCAATTTATCCAAAATAGTTATAAATAATACATGATTGAATGTTATGGGCCATATAACTCTATTCTGATCCATGAATGATACTTTATTATGATAATTCTTGACGCGTTGCTTTGTTAGGATGTGGATATCAGGAATTTCATTATTTAAAATTGAAACTAGCTGCAATTGGAATTCTCAAGGGCAATTATGTCTACATTAATAGACTCGCTTACTCATTTCTCCTTTTGAGGTGCGAAGGGCTAAGCATTACATGTAAATATAGGACTTTTCCCTGTGGTTCTTTAGCTCCTTTCTAGGCACTCAGAGGGCACATCAATTCTATTTTCTTTTTCCTTGGCTTTTTCTCCTGTTTGGCTCTCTCTCTCGAAACAGTATTTTCTCTACTGAACTATTGAAGGGTGCTATTTGCTTTTACTGTGCTTTTTGTTTTACATTTTCTTAGATACCTTCTCCTGACTTAGATACCTTCTCCTGATGATCTCAGTAGTCATCTTTGATTTCAATATTTAACACAATATCAAGTTTTCTATAGCATATTGACTCTAGAAACAAACTTTCCTGCATGTGTCTGTAAATGTGCATTTCCTTTTCTCAGAGGTAATTAAATTCAGACTTTAAAATAGTCTGTTAACTTTTAGGTTTTGTATTTCAATTAGCTGTCTTTGGCATTTGTAAATGTTATTTAGAGTAGATAGAATTAATTGACTACATTTCTTTCTTTTTTATTTTTTAAGTTACGAAAGAATCATAACACACAGAAGATTTGGCAAATACAGAACAAAGTTACATACAGTTTCATGATATATTACAATTATATTTTAAGTAGGTAAATTGAGCTTTTTACTTGGAGTTTCTGTATGAAACTCTCAAAAGTTAATAGAATTAATCGAAAGAAAAGTAGATGGAAAAAACACTACTGACCCAACTCAACATAGAGCCGGGGTCTCCTACATTGTAGGCAGACTCTTTACCAGCTGAGCTACCAGGGAAGCCCTAAATTTATACAATTTTTACACAATAGCAGTTTGCAAATTCTATTCAAGTTCCCACAAACTATAGACCAGGAGACACTGGAGCATATCCAGGGACATAAAACAAGGTGTAAAAATTTCATGGTCTAAAAAGGTATTGAAATTAAAGAGTCTGTTCTCTTATCACTGTGGAATTATGTTAGAAATCAATATCAAAAGATATTTGAGAATAATTCTCATATTTTCAAGTGCAATATGATATTTACCAAAAGAAATATTTGACTTAGCCGCTGAAAGCCTCAATAGAGTTAAAGGATTGAAAAACGCAGAGGGGAATGGCAGAGAAGAAGCACTTAAATGAGAAATTAATATCAAAATGAGAAACTAGTATCAGAGGTACTTTGAAGATCCATGTATTTGGATATTAAACATCCACTTTTAAATTATGGGTGTATCTAAGAAGCTGTAACAAGGAAAATTAGAAAATGTAACAGCATAAAAACAAAAAATTTATTTGAATTTGTTGCACACAGCTGAAGCTGCTCAGTGTATATCTTGAATAAGGTATGAAAACAAACAGTGGACACTAGCATAAAATTTTGTGAAATTTGAACAAAATCTGCACTTTAGTTAATAGTAATACTGTATCAAATGTTAATTTCCTGTTTTTACAACGTTGCTCAGTTACTTTAGTCATGTCCCACTTCTTGCGACTCTGTGGACTGTAGCCCGTCAGGCTCTTTCTCTGTCCATGGTGGGTTCCAGAGTCCTGTTGATAGCCACTCAACAGCTAGTTTCAGTTTTGGTCTTGACTTTACATAGTTTTGAAATTCTTTTTCTTAGGATGATTCTTAAAATTTCTTTAACTGGGATATTGACTGGCATGGTATGCAAAGTGAAAGAATAATGTGAAATGTCACATAACGTCACATAAGTTGACAATAAGAATTAGAAAGTAATTGTAATTCTACCACTATTCTGCTTTTGGTAAGTTTATGTCAACATTTCCTTATCTGAATCCCAGTTCACACACAGCTAAATCTGGGTTGTGAAATTTGCTGTAATTTTGGGAGAGGTAAAAATCCCTAAAATGCTTATTGTGTTTTGGCAGCCTTTAAAAGTGAATAAGAGAAAGACTTCAAATTGCTAATTCATTTTTTTGCAAATAAGTCACTCTGAATATTGACAGTATCACATATCCTCACATTCCAGTTTTGTATCCCATTATTGTTGGAAAAAGTTCAACTTTGTTTTCACAATGCAGTAAATAATAGATAGTTTTAACTACATTTTTCTCCCATGACATTACTAGACATTACTAACAATTCGTTCTCAAATAGAGCAGTTGAAATATCTTCAAATATATAAAGTGCATGTGCTAGGGCTTAGCAGGAAAAATGACTATGTTAACCTCTCTTATCATATAATGGAAGAACACTCAATTGGGAATCAGAAAGCCTGGGTTTTAGCTTTCCTCTAATATCAACTACAAAAAAGGACTTTGGACAAGTCATTGAAAGTTTCTCAGTCTAGTCCTTGTCTTTAAAAGGAGGAGCCAAACAAGGTGATTACAGGGATTCCCTCAAATTTTGAAATTCCATGACTTGGCTTTTGTTCAATAATATACTTTTACTGTATTGTTGCCCTACTGATATCTTTCCAAGACAATACATATAAGTGAGGAGTTCAAATCCTTCCTGTTAGGTTTAAACCATTCCTCAAGGGCTGGAGTGGGGCTTATTTTTTTTCCTGTGCACAGGTCATAGTCTGTTCTTATTCAGCCTTTAGATATTTAACCAGAGTATTTGACACATATAAATGATTTTATTGTAAAGGTGAAAGTTTTCACACATCAGAGAAAAAATAAATTTCTTGCTTTCTCACTGAAGTCTTACTGTGAATCATTCCTGAACTGTCACTCTTGCTGGCTAACCCTAATTCTGCTTTGTCAAATTTGTGTGAGATCCGGTTGGCCTGGTAGAAGATGATGCAGGTACAGAGTTTCACAGCATCTGTATACTTAAGCACCACACTAGTCTTTTTACTTCTTTTAAAGTGTAGAAGCTGCATGCCCGTATATTTCTAAATGAGACTTCAGGTTGCAATGATCTGCTTTGGAATTTGAGACATTTTTGGGGGCTCCCCTACCCATATATCTCACTGGCATGCCCTTGTGAACCAAGTACACACACACAGATACTATTGTGTACATCTACCTGTATGTGTGTGTGCACACACACGTGTGCCTGATGCTTGATTTTGTACCCTGCACTTATAATGGGGAGCATTCATTTCTCTTGGTTGTTACCTCCATTTCCATTCTAGAGAACTTTGACTTTCGGAAGTGACTTTACATCTAACAGAGAGTGGCTGCTGTGGGCACCTCAGGGACAATGAACTTAAGCAGAAGAATGAAGGTAATTTTTATTGGATTAAAGATTAGTCTTTAAATTCCTTAGGGGAATGAACCAAATCTAATGTTTTTCTGTTATGTTTCCAAACCTAATATTTTCCTGACTCTTTTTATACTGTAGTTTGGTATCTTCTGGAGAAGAGAGAAGAAAAAAAGCTTTAGCAAATCAGCTCTTTCATTCAGAAATGGAATTTGGGGAGTCTGTTTTAGCTAGACTTTTTGACAGTCTGATTTAATGTTTTTGCTGATGATCGAGTGGCTTCACAAATGTGAAAATCTGGGTGATGGAGGGTGTTGTTGAGGGGGAAACAGAATGCAGTTGTTTAAATAGTCCTGGGCCAATAAGCGTTTGGTAGGTGGAGTTCCTGTTGTATGCATTACAGAGAAAGATAATTGTGAATGAAGACTTTAAACATTACACATGCTGGCTGGGCTCTGGTTCTATGCATTGTGCAAACAAAAATGAGTGACTCAGTGACTAGGTTTTGCTTACTATCCATTAGTGGATGCAGCATGTTTGAAAATACTTCTTTTTTAAAAAAAAATGCATGTAAAGGATTTATCAGAAGCCCTCATGAATATTTCATGAGTTGATATATTCAGCTGAATGAATTCAGCGAGTGTCAGTGTGTAGCTTGCAGACAAACCTCATCCACAAGGAGGCTACTGACATAGGAAGCACTTTGGCGCATTTTCAGAGGCAAAGCCAGGCTGATAAAGCTCCTTGTGACAGGCTGACTTGCCATTCTTCGATTATGCTGCTCCTGCTCTAAGCAGCTCCTACTTTGGAGCCACAGCTTCCTAAATTAAACTGGGAACAGTTTGCAGACTTACCAGCCTCCTAACCTGCAGCTGTGTCTCTGCTATGTTTGAGATTTTTGTTTTGGATGGTGAAAGCCAGCACTCCATATAAGACATGACAGCAAAAGATTCTTCAAAAGAACTTACTGCTTCTGAATCTGAGGTTTGCATAAAGACTTTCAAGGAGCAAATGCACTTAGAACTTGAGCTTCCGAGACTACCAGCAAACAGACCTACATCTCCTAAAATTTCTCCACGCAGTTCGCCAAGGAACTCACCCTGCTTTTTCAGAAAGTTGCTGGTGAATAAAAGCATTCGGCAGCGTCGTCGCTTCACTGTGGCTCATACATGGTAAGAAGGGATTTGGTGGTCTTTGGAGTGCTTTTGACTAGCAACAGTGATTTGGAAATGTAGCAAATGGAATATTTGAATTTTGTTCATAATACAGATCTCCAGTGTGAGGTGAGTGGAGGGCAGGTCAGCTGAAGAATACATAGTGTGTGTTCATATCACTGTGCCTAGCTGTTTCCAGATAAAAAAAGGCTCTCACTGGAGAGAGTCTTTAAAATTCCTGCTTATTAAAAATACCTAGCTAATTCTAGGGCAACTGAGTATTGAAGGAGTTTTAAAATTCAGTTTTTAATCTCTGTGGAGGTGATTGGTCACTTTGTGTGTGTGTGTTTTTCTGTTGATATTGATGAGTTTTTCTGATAGTATATTTTTCGTACAAGAATAAATGATTCAATCTTGGATTTGTTTCTTAAGACAATGTATAAAGTCAAAGTTAATTTATGGCATTGCCGTATGTAGTATGTCAACTAGTGATTTTGATTTATTGCCTCTGTCTTTACACTTGTCAAGGAAAGGGAAAACTAAGTTCCAAATTCTGAAATTATGTGATTAATTAATTTAATTTATGATTCAAATTGGTATTATCTTTGAGATTCTTATTGTAAAAAAAGTGACTTAAAATTTATAGATAATAATAAATAAACTCCCAATTTACTTGGGAATACCAAGTAAATAAATCCAAGAGCCCTCTATAAAAACTGTACTGAGCCTTTAATATATGTAATATTCTATATACGACAGAGTAGTTTCCTTAAACCAGTATAATAACAAAGCACAAGGGAAAGCACAAAAGAAATTGAACTTTAATTGCAAAAGCTAGGCTTTTTCAGATTTCTTTGAATATTATACTTTCTTTCAGATTAAGATACCCTTCAAAATTGGGTACCTATAATTTTTATTTAATAGAGACCTTAGCAGTGAAGGGAGCTATTACCTCTTAAGGATAATTCTAACACACTGATTTTGACTGCATCTTAGATTGCCAGCCAACATTATAAACTGAGGAGATCCAGTTTTTGAAAATTATTATTTACTTGAATTCTGTTTTTTACTCATTTGAAGTGTTTGTCTGCCTGATCTACTGCACAGTATATTGGCAAATTCAAGTTATCCCTAGAAATATGTAGCTTGCCTTTGATGGACACCACATGTTAAGGCTAGTATTCATGTTTTACCTAGCTAAAAATGATATGGTTATTTTTGTTTTCTGACAATGCAGTGTTGTTCACTTAATTGTTTTATTGGTGAACTTTTTTTGATCACCTTTGATGAGTTAAATCATATTATTTAACTATAATCTCATACTTGTAGAGTACATGTGATTAATTTCTCAAAACTGACCAATGGTAGCATTTGTACAGAGAAGATTTATATGTAAGGAGGTACTTGCTTTGAAGAAGTCTTCTCTCCTGATTTACCCCACCCCTAAAGTGTGTGTATTTTCATATAGTTTGCTAAGTAGTATGACTGAATAGGAGAAAGGGATATAGCTATATTGCTACTTAGTTCTCATAAAAGGAATAAAGGTGAAAAACATGCAATTAATTGACTCATGTTTTACTAATTGGTTTACTAATTTTACTAATTGGTTAATATTAAACCATTATTTTGACTAGACGGACATTTAATTTTAACTAACTGATTCTCAGATAATGGTGAATCTTCATAAAACCTTGGTAATATTTCTTTATTATAGAGTTCCTGAATATAACAACATGACCTTTCTTTTACTCAGAATAGACTTTTGATGTAGTAGAAAGGTACAGTTGTAAATACTGATTTTTTTTCAAAAGAACCCAAAGTTTAAAATGACTAAAGAGCCAGTTTCACTCTTGCATTTTACAAATTTTCTTGCAGCAAATTTCAAAAAGAGCAACTAAATGGTATTTGAGATAACTTACGCTACTAAAGTGATCTTCTTCTAGCTGAGTTAAAACAAAAATTTCCACAAATTGCCAAAAATAAAAAAAAAGCCCACATGACTTTGATATGATGTACCATAAGTTAAAAGAATCCATTAATCTTCAAATTTACAAAATAACTTTAGTTTGACAGTGATTCATTTTCACCCATTTTTACTTCCCAGCTTACACACTCTTCTTGTATTTCTTAGTAAAGGTATATCATCGTTTCTTTTAACTTCTGATTAAGTCTCTATTTATGTTTATTTTTTTCTCAGTGCATATTTAATATTTTTCAATTTTTTTTCATGGAGCATTCAATGAAATTATCTTTTCATAAAATACAAGCATATGTATTTGAATGACTTTTCACTAACCTTAAAAATTATGTACTCCTTTTTAAACAGCATCATATGTAATTTAAATGAGGAAATAAGAGCATAAGTACTTTATTTTTGCCTCTTTGTCATGATGAAATGTAACCATTCTTTTCATGATCAACAATTAGTATTTTCCAAACCATGCATTTAAGTTAGAAATTCCAAGATATGCACTTAGAAGTCTCTAAAAACATGTTATTACTTTACAGTAGACAGTAGACGTCTTTTAAAAAGACTGGATTGTTTTGATTCCAGCATTGAAATTAAAGTAATTTTCATGATGAGCTAAACAATGCAGAGGATGCAGTTTATATCTAAACCCACTGAACAGCTTTTTTTAACCTTCAGTTATTTGTAGATTTCATTTTTTTTTCAGATGAATGTATAGTTCTGATTTTGAAAACCCAAGTTATGAAGTGTGGGTTAATGGCAGAAGATTTAAGAAACACTTGTGAAATACTGACTCTGCGATCCTTTTTAAAATATCTGAACAAAGATAAATATTCAGTGTTTTATCACTAATCAGAGTATTGACGCAGTCCTAAATCTGGAAGGAATTTGGGTGATTTATCTAGTTGCTTTCTTTTACTCTTGGGCAGGCCCACAGTTACTCCATCTTTGACATATGGGAATCTAGCCTATTTTTAAGACTGGAAAAAAAGTTCTAGAACCTCACTTAGTACACAGTGTTACTACTTAATAGTCCTGGTATTGAAAATTACATTGGTCTTTAATGGATATTAAGAAAAGACTTATAAGTACTTGCATGAAAATGAAGATCATTATTAACCAGTCCCAGGATTTTTTTTTTTCTCTCAACATATATAATTGAGCTCTGCTGTGAGCAAGAAAAGAAAAAACTGCTGATTCGATCCATGTGGATTCCAACATCTCCTATATTTTTGGTTCTTTACTAGGATGTTCACACGTATTATCTCATTTAAGTTTTATTAGGAGAATAGGAATACTCTAATATTACATGCTGCATTTATAAAACTGTTCTGAATTGCTTTAGTTTCTTCCAAGTATTTCTATTCCCTTTGTTATTATTTGACTGTGTACCATTATCCCAAAGTTCTAAATTCTCCTTTGAATTCTGAAGCCCAAAAGTGGACACTCAAATCCATGTTAGTTGATATGAGACAATATAGATTGTTAAAAAATGTACCCTACACTGCAAAGCATCAATGGAATATAAAGCATTGGTGAACAAGGAGAAGGGAAAATTTATCCCTAACCCCTAATCAGGGATGAAAACTCCTGAGACATAACATTATCCTCCTTGTCTTATGTAGTCTGCTTGTTCTTTTTTTTTTTTGTTTTTGAACTTTTAATTTTGTATCAGGATATAACAATTAGCAATGTTGTGTGGCCTGCTTGTTCTAGACTTCTACTTGCCACCTGTAGCTTTGTCAACCTTCTCTCCTTTGCTCGTGTTCCAACCTCAGTTATCAGTTCTCCGACATCATCAGCAGCGTGATGCTCTCTGATGGAAGCTACTGGTGATGGTCCTGAATACATTTCAGCTCTACCACATTGCTCTTGAAGAGCAAGTGCATTGGTGAACACCACCACTCTGTTTGTCTGTTCATGCTTGCACATGGAATATGCTTCACAGAGGACAGTATCCTTTCAGAGTTAGTATTAGAAAACAAGTCCTGTTTTTTGTTTTTTTCCCCCAATTCCCCATTTAGTTCTACCTAGACCTTGGAAATATTTCCTCATTTTTATTAAAGGTTCATGAAATGTGAACTTTTGTGCCTAATATTTGACCACAAAAGTATGAAATGACATAGTTCATACTCTAAAGGAACTTACTTATACTTGATAAGACAAATCTAGAATAACTGGAGAAGAGTAAAAAGAAAATGTTTAATAATATATGTTTAACCTTTCTCTAAAGCTTTGCACACATTTACTGCCTTATACAATTTAGTCCTGGTTTGTGAGCTAAATCTAAATCTGTGCCTTGTGTTATTTCTTATATTTCCTGAATTATTTCCTAGCAGTATGAAAAATTTTTGAAAAATATCTGTGTCTTTAAGTACTTACTGATTGAACATTTGATTGAACAGAACATCTGTTGAAAGCCTACCATGCTCTGGGTGCTCCTCTGGGAGAAAGAGTCCTTACGCTCATGTCCCATGGAAGACAAACGTAGGCATTAAGAATTAATCAACGGTATGTGTGTAATGCTAATGAAGAATGACACTTAACTTGTAAGAGCACAAGAAGAGATAAATACTGCTAGAGAGTGAGTCAATGTGTTAGAGAAGGTTTGGAGAGGAGATGACATTTGTGTGGGGTCTTGAAGAATGATTAGTTTTTCAGGAGAAGAGTGGGCAGGAAGGGTAATTTTTTTTGGTCAAAGTGACAATAATAAAATTCTATCAACCAATAACAGTAATAATAACTCACAGTTATTTTGTACTTAAAATGCATCTGACATTATTTTAAATTATTAGCTTATTTTTGTGCCATGATGTATGGCAAAAACCATCGCAATATTACAAAGTAATTATCTACCAGTTAAATAAATAAGTAAACAAAACAAGCAAAAATGTCCAGGTTATGTACTGATATTTCCATTTTATTGGAAAGGGGATGAAGCATAGGGAGGACAGGTAATTTGCCCAAGAGTACACAGCAAGTAAGGGGCTGAGTTGGGATTTGACTCAGAGGATGGTGGAAAGTGAGTAAAGTTCATTGGAGTTTTATA